CCACCTGCGGCACCGCGTCATCGCCACTCGCAGCCCCGAAGAGATCCGCGGGGGCGGCCTTCTCAAGTACTGCCACCTGCTGGTGCGGGGCTTCCGGCCGCGGCCCAGCACCGACGTGGGCGCCCTGCAGCGCTACATGTGTTCCCGCTTCTTCATCGACTTCCCCGACCTGGCAGAGCAGCGGCGCACGCTGGAGCGCTACCTCGAGGCCCACTTCAGCGGGGCCGACGCGGCGCGCCGCTACGCCTGCCTGGTGACGCTGCACCGGGTGGTCAACGAGAGCACCGTGTGCCTCATGAACCACGAGCGCCGCCAGACGCTGGACCTCATCGCCGCGCTGGCGCTCCAGGCGCTGGCCGAGCAGGGCCCGGCAGCCGCCGCCGCCCTGGCCTGGCGCTGCCCCGCGATCCCCAACGGGGTGGTGCCCGCCACCACCATCAGTTACTACGTGACCCCCGTGCAGCCTCTGCTGGCCCGGGCCCACGCCTCCTATCCCACCTGGCTGCCCTGTAACTGACTCGGACCCTGGCCGGTGAGGACTCAGCTGCCCCGGATGGAGTGGGGCCTCCAGGAGGGCGGGGAGGACCCGGTCAGAGACAGGCAGCCGGGGCTAGGGGGCCCAGCACTGCTGCAGGGTCGGGCCTCAGACTGAACAGACCAGATTTCTCCCCCGAGGGAGGGCCCCTGTGGACTGAAGGCCAAGCCGGGGTTCTCGGTAAATGGACTTGTTGGTTATTTGCGCCACCCTTTTGGAGCAGCATAATTGTGGGTGCTGGGGTAACTCATCTTGAGGGTCAACTGCCTTTAGGAGGAGACAAAGAATGTTTGGGATGGTAGCCTCAAGGCCCATCATCTCGGGCTGATGTCTGTGGCCTAGAAAGGGTCTTTCTGGCTAGGGCCAGCCCTCAGTGAAACCAGCAGCCTCCAAGAGCCTGCAGCCCATGCAATGGCTAAAATACTGTTATGATATGGGAATCACTCACTTTGAGTTGGGCTGAACCACTAACTAGGAGGAGGGAAGCTGAGGCAGATGCCTAGGTTTGCAGAGGGATAAGTTTAGCTCAGCCCCCTAACACCCCTACCCCAAGTTGTCTAGGTGCGCCGTGGGCAGGAACCAAGCAGCCTGGGGTGGAACACAAGCCATGCCCCTGTCGGGGTGCTTCTCCCTTCCCCCACGCGGTGAGGAGCCCTCCTGCCTGGGAGCTTGTTTTCTAGAAGGTGCTGGGTCCAATGTAGCCACAGTCAAGTGATCCCACCTTACTGGCCTGGTTACAGGGTCCTCACAAGGACCCTTCCCATCCCTCTGGATTTGTTACTATTTTGCACTTTTAACACCTGCTAATAAAGATTGTCCACACTCAGCCTAGCACCATGCTTTCTCCTGGGAGAAGGACTTTTCATGGCTGTGGGGTCCATGGCTGCCTCTCCCACAGCCTGAGTCAGGCTTGTATTGTGGGAGGGGACTTTGGGGGGCGGGGTCTGAGTCCTGGGCAGTGGTTAGGGAATGCCGCTCCTTCCCCCAGCTTGGCGGTTGTGCTACAAGCCTCTGTCTACATATGTGACTTGCCCCTGCACATCACTTCAGCAAATCTCTTGCTAAAAAGCAGATATTTCAGTATTCCCTACCTGGAGTCCTGATGACCCTGAACCTGGCCTCATACTCCAATGCTCAGGGCTGCTTGATTCCATCTCTGCTCAACCTTCCCCAACCTTCCCCAGGAAGCAGGTGAACAAGGAGGGGGAATCTGAACTGGAGACCCTCCCTCTAGATGTGGTAGCTGGGACTAGGGGGTGCTTCTGGCACCTCTAAAGCCAGAGCCCAGGTTTGGCCTCCCCACTGGGGGTTGTCGTTCAGTCGGTAAGTCATGTCAGACTCTTTGCAACCTCATTGCAACACACCAGGCTTCCCAGTCCACTATCTCCCAGAGTTTGCACAAACTCATGTCCACTGAGTCAGTGATGCCATCCCACCATCTCATCCTCTGTCGTCCCCTTCTCCTCCTGCCCTCAATCTTTCCCATCATCAAGGTCTTTTCCAATAAGTCGGCTCTTTGCATCAAGCAGCCAAAATATTGTAGATTCAGCATCAGTCCTTCTAATGAATATTCAGGGCTGATTTCCTTTAGGATTGACTGGTTTGACCTCCTGCTGTCTCCTCCCTCTTGTATCCCAAGTGCTGGTGTGGGGATGCCTTGCTCTAAGCAAGTCCCCTGGAGGGGCAAGGATCCTTTCCAAACCCAGTTGGGACCATGCCTGGCTGCTTGGGAGTGCCTGCCGCCAGCCACAAGCTCTTAGAGAGGTGTTCCCTCAGGGCATCAGCCAGTCACAGGCCTGGACGCTGCCTACTGTTTACCCAGCCTCTTTGATCCAGGGAGTGCAATGTTCTTAACATATTGAGGCTCATTAGTGGCCTCTGAAGTGCTGGCTTTTATGGTTCCAGTCAGAGTGGAGAAAACAAGGCCACAGAGGAGGTCCCAGGTCACCTGGTTGAGTCCAGCCATCTCACCTGCTCAGTGCGTCCCTGCTGGGCTCAGAAAGGCTAGAAGGATGAGTGGAAAGGCTGTCTTTGCTTGGTGACTAAAAGCAGCCTCCCACCCTACCCTGGCCCTGCCCACCCAACTAGGGTCCTAGGATAGGAGTTACTAAATTTGTCCCAGCTCCTGCTTTGGGGTGTGAGGGGGAAGCTCACAGTGTAAGCCCAGAGGCTTAGCTTCTTGGGGTGGGAGTGGGATTCACCTGCACATGCTTGTTTCAGAGGGGAGAGAGCCAGAAATCCATGGCACGTGTGTGTGTGCACTGGATTCAGCCCACGTGTGCTGGCTACCCCTCCAGGGGGTGGAGACACAACAGTAAACAAAGACCAACATCCCTACCCTTGTGAAGATCACATTCAAATGGGAAAGATAGAAAATAAACTAAATTATATAGTCTTAGAAGGTCAGCCGATGCCTAAGAATATACATAACTGGGTAAGGGATTGGAAGTGCTGAGGTGTGCGATTTTAACAAGGGTGTGCCTCCTTGAAAGGGCGACAATCTGATTGAACAAAGACAATGGGGAGCAAACAATGCGGATGTCTGGGGAAAGAGCCTTCCGGGTGGAGGGGCTCGTCACGTGCTCCTGGCAGGCGTGTCTGGGGAAGGGCACGTGCACCTGAGGCTGCCCAGCTCAACCTGTGCAGGTCTGTGTGCTCCCCAAGAGAAGTGGGAGACAGGAGTTTCCCGCTAACCACTACCACTTCTGGAGAGCTCTCCCCCAGACTGGGTGCCACGCTGAGGTCTCCCCAATCACAGCATCCCAATGCACCCTGACAACAACTCCACGAGGCGAGAACAAGTATTTCCATTTTACAGACAAGAAAACTGATGCCAGACAGCTGTGTGGGCCATTGCTGTTAACCCCTGCACCATCCTGCCCCTACCCTCTAGTTTCACGTGGTTGGGCATGACAGTATGTCTCCTGTACATACATGTGACATGGCACATTTGGCATGTGACAGAAAAAAAAGCTTGCATTCCTGTGACTTGGCTGTTTTACAGTGATGGTGGAGTGTAGCAGTTGTGCCCACTTGTACGTTTTCTTGATGCAACCGTGACATCAGATATGGCTTGTGGTGACAGTGTCAGAGGCCTGTATGGCAGCGGGCATGACTGTGGGTGTGTTTGGGGGAGGTGTAGTGTTTCTGGGTGTGAGAAAAACACTGACTCAGTGGCTGGCATTGTTCTCTGGTGGACAATCCCTGTAGCCATCTAAGATGCCAGGACAGGAAAGAATCAAGAACTAAGAGCCAGAGAGGGGGAAGACTGAGGGAAGAAAAGACCCATGCCCCTTCCCCTCTCCAAGCAACAGTCATTTCCCCCCAAGACCTGCAGTGGTAGGGGAGCTCCAGAGCGGGAACTGCCTTGTTGTGAACTTTGGGGAATGAAACATAGGCCCCCAGGCAGCTGCTGGACGTGTTGGCCCTTCCAGTCCCACTCTCTGCCCTCCTTCATGCTCTGTGCCCCCGTGAGGCTGACCTCTATGAACTCTGCATCAACGGCTCCCTTGTTCCCTGCCTCTCTGTTGGGTTCAGCCAATGAGAGTCCCCAGCAGGAGGTACCGGAGGGAGGAGGAGAATGGGGTGTTTCTTTTCCTGCTCCCTTCCCATCAGGTCTCGGTGGTTGCCTACATCCTCAACCAAAGGCCCCTGCTCCTGTCAGGGTCCCTCTCCACACAACTCACTCTCCAGGTCCCGAAGGTCTTGCCTCCCCCTCCCCTCTTTACCCCTTCAGGCCCAGGAGTTGTAAAGGCTTCTCTCTGTTGCTAGCCCCACAGATAATTGCAGTACCTTGTTAGTCTCTTAGGCCTAGCCCACAGCTTTGGAAATAGTCTCTTTAAAAAAAATTTTTTTTTAATTTGGCTGATCTGGGTCTTAGTCGCAGCTCCCAGGACCTTCTATCTTCATTGCAGCAGGATATTTAGTTGTGGCCTGAACTCTTAGTTGCAGCATGTGGGATCTAGTTCCCCCACCAGGGATAGAACCTAGGTCCCCAGCATTGGGTGCTCAGAGTCTTAGCCACAGGACCACCAGGGAAGTCCCAGAAATAGTCCCTTTTTAAATCTCTCCCCAGTTTGAGTGTGCCCTGTCTCCAATGGGACTCTGACTCTGGGGTCCATCCCCACGGTCCATGCGTCCATCCATTCACCAGCACGGTCACACGCAGTTCCCCACAGATCACCCTGCTGCCATGTCATCACGCTAGCATCCCTTTGTCCCATGCGGGCATCCCATCTCTGAGCTTCCTCATCACATCCTTCATTGAGGAAGACTTCCTGGAGAGGTTCAGCTGGGAGCCAAGTCAAGGGATAAGTCAGTCTACAAATCTGTCAACAGGCCCAGACTGCCAAACGAAACTAAAGAGAAGCTGCTCAAGGAACTGCCCACTTAAAGAGCCCTGACAAGCACGCAGAAAGGAAAGGTGGTGCAGGCACTCACAGAGTAAACCTCAAAACCACGCATGCTTGTCTCACATCACGGAGGTTTATTCTTCCTGAATGTATACAACAGGGAACGGACTCCATATGCGTTCATTTTGTGGAATTCTACAAGTTCTAGGTTAGGTGTGAGTCCATGTGGCCCCCTTCCGTCTACCATCAAGATATTTGAATCAAGTTAATTTGAATCAATTTAATCTTTCATTTAAAATTTATTATTTTTATGTGGTCAACCCCTCTTCCTGAGAAAGAGGTGTGTCCCCTGGGAGCCAGCAGACCATTATCTTTCTGAGGGGCCGCAGGCAGGCACCCACACAGGGCAAAGATGGTGGGCGAGGGAAACAGGGATTGTTCAGAGCAATGTTCCCCCTCAAACAGCCCTCCTACCGCTGTTCGACTGAGCAGCAACGGCATCTACCAAAGTGGGGACCCTAGCTGCGCTGAGACTTGTTTAAGAATGGTAATGACATTTTTAAAGAGAAATCCTTTTCTCGGTGGAAAGGTTTGCTGCTCTGTTAACCTGATTGCATCTCAAAGGACTTGTAACATCCCCAGTTGTACCATGTAAGCCAGAGCCAAATGCGGGAATATATAAATTCCTAGTAGAGGCAACTTCCCCAGAACCCAGCCCCTTGCCACTGTCAAGTGAGGGGCTCCTTTGAGGTGAGGAGGGTGCTGCGGTTGTGCAGGGTCGATTAGAGAAGTCTTCCTGAAGGAGGTGCCCGGGCAAAGGAGCAGAATCCAGAAGTCAGATCCTGAGTTGAGGCTCTGAGGAGCTGGGAGGAGCTGGAAAGAATAATTTCAAGAGCTTTCATTACCTCTCTCTCTCACACACAGCCACCCAGCCCCACCCAAACCCTTCAGCATCTACCTCCTTAAGAGAGGCCATTGTGGAGAGAAGGCGCAAGGGCAACATTTTGGAAAAGGGCTCCACTGGCTCCCGCCCTGGAAGGGGTGGGGGCTCCTGGGGTGAGCTCCCTTGGGCCTCTGTCCTTGGCTGGGATCCCCACTGGTCTGAGCAGCTGGAATGGAATGTTCCTGGGATAAAACGCCTGCCCCTCCTCCACGTCTCCCCTTATGGAGTTCCTCGGGAAGGCACTGGGGGGAGAAGGGGGACTGTTCTGGGATGCCTGATATGGCGATGCTCTGGAGAAGCAAAGGCCCACACTGCCTGGGGGCTCTGTCCTGGAAGCCTCTCCTAGGCCAGATAGGTTGGCTCCGAGCATTTACAGACCTTCGCTGTGTGCTAGGCACTTAATGTGACCTCTCACTTAATACTTGGAAATTATCTCTCCCTAACTCCCCATAAAACACATGCACATGCGTGCACACACACACACACATATAAGAAACGGACTCAGAAAAGGGAAGTCATTTGCCCAAGTTCTCCCAGCTGAGAAGCTGAGCTCCAGGTCAGGACTAAATCCCAGGTCTTTCTTGTTCTAAGTAACAGGACACTTTCTGCCCCACCATGGAGCGTCACCCTCCTCCTCTACCATCCCAGGCTCTTCACTCTCCAATCATGCCAGCCCAGGTACACAAGGGAGGAGGAAGCCCTCCAAGGCAAAACCCAGGCCCTAAGCTTCCCTGACCTGCCCTTGCTGACTCAGCCTGACTCATACCCCCAGAGCACAGACAACTGAGGTAGGGAGCCAGCCTTTGGGGGGTGTGGCCAGACCTTGGAGGGGTGGCACCTTGTGCCACAAATGTCTGATCACATCCCTCCCCAGAACCAAGGACTAGGGTTTCCTGTACCCAGACTTAAAGAGCGAGCGCTCAGAACCCATGTGGAGCCCTCAATATCTTGATAAATGGAAAGCCACATAGCCTAATGTTGAAGGTGTCCCCCACTTAAGTGTTCTATGTCCTTGGGCCAGTCACTCACCCTCCCTGACCCTCAGTTTCCTCATCTGTGGAAATGGGAATAACTCCTACTTAGTTGGCAGAGTAGCTGGGAGGATTGAAACAGCTAATGGGTGTAAAGTGCTTAGCACAGTACCTGGCATAGATGTGGTGGTGAATATATTATTCCACAACCAAGGATTCCTTTCCCTTATCACTCCTAGCCAGGGTGCGGTCAAGATCTAATGCAGGAAGAAATAGGCTGGGGATGTCCCAGCTTTCCCAAATACCTCCTCCCAAGCTGGATGTAAAGGAGGGGAGGAGATAAAGGTTCTCCTCCTTCAGCTCAGAGAAGACTGGGACGCCCTGGAGGGACCTGGCTGTCAGGATAAGGGAGCCTTCTAGAGACTACCCACTGCAGGCTTGGAGCACCTTAGCTGCGAATTGCCGCTTCAACCTAATCTCTAGGAAGCCACCTTGATCCCCAGGTGGCGGCGGCAGAGATGGAGTGTTCTGATCAATTATCAGTCTAACACATCTGGGCGGAGTAAAGTACTCTGGGCTTTTACTCAGACGGTAACCGCCAACAGGTGCAACCTCTCTCTCCAAGAAAGTCTCTCCTGATGGACCTGCCCTCTGAGGTCAGAGGCCCGCCCTTTCTGTAAGTGACCGCCAGTACCCGCACGTTCTTGGCAGACCCTTTAAAGCTCAACGCCTGAGATGCCCGGGCAATGGGAGTAGGGGCTGGCTGGGGGCGGGGATATAGACAGAGGGAACCTGCTCCAGGCCACGCCCCCACGCCCCAGGAAGCAGCCCACACTGCCCTCTGGTGGCGCCGCTCGGGGGGCGCCACACTTGCCCAGGGCCCAGCCAAGAGAGCAAAAGGACTCATCCAGAAGAGGAGCAGGTTCCTCTAAATCCCTAAACTGGTCTTCCCGCCCCTCCCTTCGCTTTGCTGACATCCCAGCTTCCCTAGTGGCCATCAGGGTCCTCAGTGCACAGATCCCTCAGGATCGCCTGTCCTCAGTCCAGTCTCCAGGGCTAGATGGCTGGGCCATCTAGAAAGTGTTTAGGAAGTCATGGGGGGTGGGGGTGGGGGCTACAACATATAACCAGGGGCCAGAGTTAGTTGTGGGGCTTCCCTAGTGGCTCAGCTGGTAAAGACTCTGCCTGCAATGTGGGAGACCTGGGTTCTATCCCTGGGTTGGGAAGATCCCCTGGAGAAGGGAATGGCTATCCACTCCAGTATTCTGGCCTAGAGAATTCCATGGACTGTAGAGTCCATGGAATCACGAAGAGTCAGACACGACTGAGCGACTTTCACTCACTTCATAGTTGTGAAGACCTGAAGACAGCCCTCCTCCAACAACACCAGGGCAGGCTGCCTAGAAGAGGGTTGGGAGACACAAGCCCTTGAAAGCAGAGACTCTGATTCAGTGCTGCTTCTTGAGCGCTTGGACTGAGCAGAGATCAATGTTTGTTAATTGAGGAGAAAATGGAACCTTCTAGAGGCATCCTGGGTGGGCCAAGCAAGGGTGGGAAGATGACTTGTATTTGTTGGCTGAGGGGTAGTAGGGCTGTGGTACCCCCGGACAGAGCACTGAACCAAGAGCTGGGGTTTAAGTCACTGAGCACTGTGAGCCTGGCTGAGGCCCTTAATGAGAAGCCTGAGACTTCTGGAAGTGGAGGGGGGGACAGAGCTGCCTGTGAGCCTGGGACCAATCTCCATCTCTACATATACCACTTTCTCCAGCAAGAGCCAGCTCTAATTCCCTATCCACCCCACTCCCCTCTTCCAAACCAGAGCAAAGCTGATTACCAATAAATCCCAGAGAAAGGCAAAATTGTGGTGACACAGAGCACTTTAAACCATTAGCTAAAAGCTTCTGGGGATCAAGAGTCCCTCCCATGCAAACAGACCTGGCTACAGCCCAGCAGTGCAGCCTGAAGCTCCTTTCCGTCACCTCCAGGGAGTCCTTGTCCTCTCTGGGCCTCTAGACCCAAAGTGACCCAAGTGGCTTTGGAAGGTCCTTTCTGGACAGACCAGAGGATGCCAGGGCCCCTCACTGCTCTCTCGATCCCCAAGCTCTGTCTCTGAGACCTCCTCCTGGACTTCCCCTCCCCAGCTGAGAATGGGTTCAGGAAGGCCTGGCTGTGAGCTGAGAAACCAGGAAAAAGTTTGGTACCTGCGAAGAGGAAGAGCTAGCTGGAGAAGGGATAGGTGAGGGCCCCTGGGGCTCTGGCTTTCAGAGCAGCGCACCTGACCCCAAGGACTCTAGGATTAAACCAGAATCCCGTGACTCTTAACTGCCTCATTCTACCCCCTTCTCCCCTAAAAGCTCTGACATGAGGAGGGACAGTTATGTTCAGAGAGGGACTGAGGAAACCAGCCCATATCAGGGATGGAGTTGTTCTAGGTCATGGGTCCCCAGTCTCTGGGATCTAATGACTGATGATCCGCTGTGGAGCTGCCATAATAACAGTAGAAAAAAAGTGTACAATACATGTAATGCACTTGAATCATCCCCAAACCATCTCCCCCCACCCCCACCCAGCCCCAGTGGGTAGAAAAATTGTCTTCCCAGAAACTGATCCCTGGAACCAAAAAGGTTGGAGACCGTTGTTCTAGATCATACGGCAGACAAGCTGACACCAGTTCTACCTAGCCCCTGCCCCTGGCCAGCAGAGAGATACACCAAGAAGGACACACACACGCCCGAGGACCTAGGTCTGTCCCTAGCTGGCAGGTGACCTTGCCACTCTGTAAAATAAGGACTTCAGATCAGCTCCCGGGCTCCAGCAGCAAAAGCAGTGCCTGTTTCTAGGTGTGACGTAAGAGAATAAGACATTCTTCCACGATTTATGGGAGAAGACAGACCTCTGCCCTGTGTTAACCTCCAGACAAACCTTCCAGGAGGTGAAAGTACCCAGTTCACAGACCAACAAGTGAGACTGCAGTCAGCTCAGCTGGTGGCCAGCAAAGCAGCAGCCAGGCCATTCACAGCTGAGTGGAGCAGGGGAGCGGGGCCTGAAGGGCATGTGGAAGGGAAGTGCATCTCATTTCAGGTCTGGCCCTTTAAGGCCCCACTTTCTAGAATCTAGAAGCCGATGACATACCTGCTCCCCTGGGGCCCCATTACAGGATGCACCTGGCTCCATCCCTGGCAGAGCCATCTTAGCGACAGGTTGGGAGCCCCTAGGAGAACCTGCAAACCTTCAGGCAATCACCAAACGCCCCTGGTCGTCTGAGTCAGCTCTTACTGAAGCTGCATGAAGGCCTGAGGAAAGACCTGTCCCCCAGAAGTGAAAGGGCCTAAGCATAGTATGATGGGAGCAAATCCCTCACCTCTCTGCGATTCCATCTCCCCAAATGGGAAATAGGGCCTTAGGAGACAACTCAAAGCGACATCGCTGTGCCAGCAGCCACGCCATCCTGGAGTCTCATTACTCTGCCTTGCGAAGGGCGCGCCAGAGAGTAGCGGCCTCAAGGGCAAGACTCTTCTTACAGCCCCAAGGGACCCAGGAAAGGCAACGCTGAGGAGGTGAGAGTGGGGTTGCTCCAACCGGTAAAAGTTTGCTGGCAAACCCTTCCTGGGATGTGAGCGGCCTCAACGTGTCCAACTCTATAATGGGGACTTAGTGCCACTACCTCATTCCCCAGGAGTTCTGGGAGAGGCGGCAACAGAAAGTGCACAGCTTTATTTAAGGACCCAGCGAACTCCAGAAGCTCTAGGGAAGTCTCCCCGCCCCGCCCCTCGGATGCGCCAGCCGCTAAGACCACACCTCGGTTTCGCCTTCTTTACTGGGCCCCCGGCCCCCCGACTGTCTCTTCCTGTGGCCGGCCAATCTGTCCATCCGCGTCGGTGACGTCGTTCCACCCAGCCGGCGTCCGCAGTCCATCGGTCGGCACCCGGGCGGTGGTCTCTCGGGGTGGCCAGGGGTCCCGGCGCCGGAGGTCAGCGCTGGGGTGAGGCGGGGCCGCGGGGCGGGCTGCGGCGGAAGGGCGATTCCGGCTCCGGGCCGTGGCCCCGCCGCAGGCGCCCGGCGCCCCAGGGCACGCAGCTGCCCAGACCCAGCGCCGAGGCGAGCAGCGCGGGCGGGCGGGCGCGGCGGCCGCGGCGCGAGCCCTTCTTGAGGCGCGGCCCGTGCGCCGCCAGGTAGAGCTCGGCCTGCGCCACGCCGCCGCCCAGGCGGCCCAGGCTCTCGGCGCGGTGCGCCAGGCGCAGCTCGGCCGCCAGAAAGACGCGGTGCAGCTGCAGCACGCGGCTCTCCAGCTCCGACACCAGGCGCCGGCGGCCCTCCACCTCCAGCAGTCGCCGCCGCGCTTCGGCCAGCTCCAGCGCGCGGCCGCCCGCAGCCGCCACCAAAAGTGTGGCCAGTGTGACTACCGCCTCAGCCTGAAGAGGAGGCTGAAGGGGACGCTGCGCTGGCTTGATATGGAGAGGGAAGAGGAGGTTGGGGGCACACCCCCTCCACACACGGCACCCCGCCCCACCCCCGCACCGTCTTGTTCTCTAAGTGCTTTTAAGTGCCTTTGACTGAGTGATGGGAACTCGTGGGCGTGGGCGAGACAGCTTGGCTCCCAAGAAGCAGCTCCGCAGGGGCTGGGAGAGGAAGGAGAGGTCCATGAGGGGGCTGTCAAGCTCAGTGAACGGGAAGGGAGGAAGACTCAGAAGAAGGGCATGAGGAGAAGGGTTTTCAGTGACCAGGAGTGGTGGAGGCTTGGAGGAGGGGACTCAGTGAATGTGATGGACTCAGTGAGGGGAGAGGGGTTTAGGGGGCGCATTGGTGCTAGAGGCTCACAGAGGAAGAAGGAGAAGGGAAGTTCAGTGGAGAGGATGGGGCATGGGGAGTCAGAGGAGCTCAATGGGATGACGGAGTGCCCTGCTGCTTGGTGTCATCCCTTTGAATGGTCTCCTTTGTGTCATCAAACCTGTGTCCTTCTCTGTGCAGAAGACCCCTCCCTCATCACTGTGGGGAGATCTGCAGGTGATCATCAAGCAGATCACTGCTCCCCACTTCTGGGGGATGAATCAAGGGAGGAAAGATTAGGACTTAACCTCCACCTTCCACCATCAGCCAGATCCAGAGAACCACTCAGATCTGAGTTTGAATCCCACACACGCTGCCCATCTGGGTGACTTTGGGCAAGTTGTTTCTCTGAATTCAGCCTACATTTACCGAATAGATGAACATTCTCATCTTTCCACAGAATCCTAAGGGAGGGGCATCAGCAGCCTCTGTTCTTGATGGGAAACCGAAGCCCAGAGAAGTAAAGATAATTGCTCGAGGTCACACCGCAGATCAGTGACAGACAAAGATTCAAACACAGATCTGACCCACCCCAAAGGCATAGCTTAGCTCCCTGCTGTTCTCTGATATGTCCCCTGTTCCTACCCTCTATGGCATTTCCCACCAGTCATATATATATAAAGCGCCCTGGCGCCAGCGCTGCAGCTCCAGCCCCTCAGCGGAGCCCGCAGACTCCTGGGCAGCTTCCGGCTGCGATGAGGCCTGAGCCCGGGTTGGGGTCAAGGTCGGACTTGGGGATGGGGGCTGAGGGCACGACAGGGGCTCCCGGGGCGGCGGCGGCGGCGGGGATCCTGGTTCCGCCGACCCTTCCTGGGCCCCCGGGCCGCAGGCGCTGATGCGGCAGCCCGGCATCCCCCGCCCCCCACCCCTGGCGGCCCTCAGCGGCAGGTCCGCGGGTCTGACCGGCTGTTCCCCCACGCGGGGGACGATGGACGCAGCAAACCAAGGTGAGATGCAGCCGCAGCCCCCACACTGGCCCTGAGCGAGCCGCGCGCGTGTCTTATAGAGCAGGGGGCGGAGCGAAGGGCAGCACAGCCAATCAGAGGCTTGCATGCCCTGAACCCGCTTCTCATGCCCCGCCCCGTCAGGACATTGCCCGAACCCTTCTGCTCCGCTGGTCCTTCGACCCACCGGATCCAGTGCCCATCCACCTCCTCCACATTTGGGGTGAAAAAGGGGCCGCATCTTTCCCGGTCTGACCCCTGAATCATAAGCTTTGGTAGCTGGGGCTTAGGAATCACGGACCCCGGGCCCCACCTGCGGGAGGGTTTTGCCTGAAGCCACACTATGTGACAGTTGAAAGCTTCAAATAGAACTCAGGAGGCTTGTTTCCTGGCACGTACCGAACGCTGTCACTCGGCTGAATCGGCTCTACCTGGCCTCCCGGGACAGGTGTCCTCACCAGGCCACCCTTCAATCTCCTGGCGGCCATGGAGAGATTAACGCAGAGGGGCAACTGGCCCCTCCTGGTGGGGATCTGGCAGGACTGACTACTTACCAGGCAGGCCCTGAACTTGCAGAGCAAACCTCAGCACTTGCTGCTGAGCTTGGCGCAGCTTTCGCAAACCTTAGTGCCCGCCCACCCCCTTCCCCCCAGAGGAGCCCCACCCTTCAGTGGACCAAATTCTTTTCAAGCCCCTCTGCTCCCGTCTGCTCCTCCCGGTAGGTGTCCCCACACCTTTCACAGAGAGAAGGAAACAGGACCAGAAGGTGTAGTGGAGTCTTGCCTGTGGTCCATGGTTCATTCTGGACCACCGAATGGGACCAGCTCAGCCATTCATGCCTTTGGGAAGCTCAGATAACCTGGGCTCACTGTCACTGACGGGACTTTGCTTCACTGGGACTTTAGTCATACTGGCAAAATGATAGAACTGAGCTCTAGTTATTTTTTCCACAGCCGCAGTGGATCCTGCCATACCCGCTCCAAGCATTGACCAGACACCATGGCACTGCCATCCACTGGAAACTGCCCTCAGAAATGAAAAGGCTCTGTTAAGTGATGGCAGGGGCTGGAGGGCCGGAAACCAGCTGAGACCGATAGAGAAGAACTGCAGCAGACACTGGGCTCACAGGAGGGGTCGGGCGGGGGTTGGGGNTGTCTAGCACGTTCATTTATGGTCACTTTGCATTGACAGTGGCTCAGAGATACTTTCTAGGGTACTTAGAATTTTGATTAATAAGTAATCGACTAATCGACTAAAGTGATTTACTGAAGGTATTGTGTCACAATTTTTCTCCCCAGAAAGCCCCCAACATAGCTGTTCAGTGAATGAACAATTAGAGAGCATTCACCAAAGAGCTGGTACCTTCTGTCTTTGCTTGAAGAGGGTAAACCCTATCCTGCTGTTCTCTCACCAATGGCCTAGAGGTCATCCCTCCTCGAAAGCCCTCACTTTTTAAATAACTCCTACAAGGTGCTGTTAGCAGTCCCAACAAAGAGCAAGCTGGGACCTTTCATACTTCAAACAAATGAATATCTGTCTCTCAAAGAAAGTACACAGTGAAGTAGGTTTATGCAGCCATTTAAATTATACAAAAGTAATGACCCACACTTGGTAAGGTAGGTAGATAAATAGATGAGAGAGAGAAAGAGAGGTAAAAAAAAAATCTCAAAACTTTTATTTTTATAAAGATATTGTTCATATCTATGTTTTCACAAAGAAATATTTAATGTTATATTTAGACAAAATAACCTGTAAACTTTTACTTTGCTTACTGATTTATTTCTTTATTAGAAAATATTTATATATATATATATTTGTTTATTGTTTAGTTACTTAATAGTTTCTTCCCAGACTGGTTTTGGTTTTCATTAGATTCCTTGAAGTGAGGTAGAGTGCCTGTCTCCATAAGGTCACTCACATAGTGTTCGTTAAATTGAAAAATAATACAAGGGTATTCAGAGCTAGTCAGGAATAGAGAGGTCCTCTTCTTCATTCATTTGCCCATTCACCCTTTATTTCACTCACTTGACAAATTTGATCATTACCTTCTCTGTTGAGCTGGCTGCTGGCAGTAAAGTGATGATCAGATGGGGCCCTGCCCTCAGAGAGCACACAGTCCAGGGAGGACACAGGTGACCGCAGTTCAGTGAGGTATCTCCTGGGATAGGAGAAACACAGAAGCAGTGGGAGCAGAGAGCCAACACTGAGGCCAGCTAGGTGGAGAGGGGATCAGGGAGAGTTCCCCATAGAAGATATTTAAACAGAGAACTGAAGGATGAATCAAAGTGCAAGATGCACAGCTGGGGAGCGGGGACAAGAAGGGAGAAGGATTCAGGATGGGGACACCATGTGTATAGGACCAGAGGTGAGAGACCTTTGGCATCTGCCAGCTTCCTTAACTGCCCTGAGCTCCGTGCTCCCAGTAGTGGGCAAGGGCCACAGCCAACCATCTCTTAGGACACAGCCAGCCCAGCTAACACAACATTTGGAATTAGAAAATAAAATTTTAAAACTATAATAATTATTCTTTTTCTCTGATCTTATCAAAGTTATACATTCTCTTTGCAGGAAATAGAGAAAATACTAAAATATATTTTTTAAAAAGAATAGAGAAAAAAGGCATCTGGAATTGGAGAGATCTGAATTTGAATTGAAGCTTAGTTCTTTCCAAGCTGCATAACCCTGACAGAGATGCTTTCTCTGTGAGCTTCAGGGTCTGAGGAATGGAACCGTTAATACCTATGGCACAAAGACATGCAAAGATCAAGGATTCCTCCAAGGTTTCACAGCTAGTCATGTCTGTCTATGGTCTGAGTCAGAGACCTTGAAAGAGAAGAGGCAGCCCAGCGGAGGAGGGCTTGGGCGGGGGCGGGGGGGGGGGCAGACCTGGTTTCAGAGTCTTATCCATTACATACACACCCCTTTCAGGACAGCAGCCGCAGACACAGAAACTTCCAGAGCGAATGGTGAGTGCAGATGTGGCCCAAAGCAGGATCCCCTCTGTCAGCTGAGAGGGCCGTGGGGTAGGAAGTCAAGGCTTGAAAAGCCGATTTCCATCCCAGCTAAAAGAGTCAAGCCCTCCGCTAAGAGATCTAACGCCTCCGTTTCAGTCTCTTGCTGGCAACCTGGCCTGGCACCCTCTAGGATGTGATATCAGTTTAATAATTTAGCAGATGCAGATAAATATAGCAGCTCTGAAAATAACCCAGCTAGGCCTCAGCCTCCATCTCCTCTTTCCTCAACAGACTACCCTGCCCTCCCCGCAAGGTCTCTGGTCTCCCTGCACCCCTGTCAGTGCTCCTGTCTGCCAGTGGGCACCTCATTCAACAATCTCTTCCTTTTTTCTAATTTCCTCCTCCCTCTCACCTCATAGTAAGAGCTTTTGTATTAATCAGGGCTTAAAAGAATCTTGTGCTAGAAGTCAGAAGATTTGGGTTTAATTCATTATGTGGACGTGTGTTGAGCAAGTCCCTTCTCCTCACTAAGCCTCTGTTCCCACATTTGTTAAATGAGACCCTTGGATTCCTAAAGGAAATCAGTCCTGAATATTCATTGGAAGGATTGATGCTGAAGCTGAAACTCCAATACTTTAGCCACCTGCTGCAAAGAGCTGACTCATTTGAAAAGGCCCTGATGCTGGGAAAGATTGAGAGCAGGAGAAGGGGGCGTCAGAGGATGAGATGGCCAGATGGCATCACCGACTCAATGGACACGGGTTTGGGTGGACTCTGGGAGTTGGTGATGGACAGGGAGGCCTGGCATGCTGCAGTTCCTGGGGTCACAAAGAGTTGGACACGATTGAGCAACTGAACTGAACTGAACTGGATTCTTTTTTTTTTTTAAATTAGTTGGAGGCTAATTACTTTACAACATTGCAGTGGTTTTTGTAATACATTGAAATGAATTAGCCATGGATTCCCCATCCCAGTCCCCCCTCCCACCTCCCTCTCCACCCGATCCCTCTGGGTCTTCCCAGTGCACCAGGCCCAAGCACTTGTCTCATGCATCCAACCTGGGCTGGTGATCTTTTTCACCCTAGATAATATACATGTTTCGATGCTGTTCTCTTGAAACATCCCACCCTCGCCTTCTCCCA